ATCCCAGGACCCTGAGATCATGACCTGAGCTGAAGGCAGAGGCTTGAACCCACTGAGCCACCCAAGCGCCTACAATGTGTTTTAAGTTAAACTAACAAAACCTAACACTTCTGCTTGCCTTGATCTAGCAGTTAAAAGTGAAAGTATCAAATCAAGCGAACTCCAATTCCTCTTATTTACTGAATACATACTTATGACAAGGGCTATGTAAACACTTTGCACACATGATTAACAATCATTACAATCATCCTGGAATACAGCAGAATGAGATTTTACTTTCAGAGAAAGCATTATGTATAAAAAGAAATAAGAATTCTTTTGCAGAGGGAGATGTTGTCATTTATACGAATTTTTTTAAAGATTACTTATTTATTTGACAGAGAGAGAGCACGCACACGCACACAGTGAGTGAAAGAGAGAGAACATGAGTGAGGAGAGAGGCAAGACGGGGAGGAGGGAGCCTGCTGCAGGGCCTGATCCCAGGATCTGAGAACATGACCTAAGCCGAAGACAGATACTTAACCAACTGAGTCACACAGGTGCCCCTAAGATCTTTTTTTAAGAGATAAATTTGAGCAGTGAGGCACCTGGGTGGCTCAGTTCTTAAGTCTCCAACTCCTGATTTAGGCTAAGGTCTTTATCTCAGGTTGCTGGGATTAAGCCCTGCCTCAGGGTCTGCGCTCAGCAGGGTGTCTGCTTGAGGATTCTCTCTCCCACTCCCTTCGCCCCCTCCCCACTTCCCTGCCCCCCCCCCAATTCATGCACATGCACTTGCTTTCCAAAATAAATAAACAAATCTTAAAAAAAAAAAAAAGATAAATTTGAGCAAGCTTGTTTATAACCAATTATTTCTTCCAATAACTAGAAAGCCAGTTTTGGGGGGGGAAAGAAAACACAAGAAATCAAAACTAGGAAGAAATCAGGAAAAATGGGTGATTTTACAAGAGAAGAAAAATATTATTAAAAATATATATACATATAAAGATAAAGTCCAAAGGGATTTAAACCAATTATTCAAAAGAATATCTATCTGCCCTAAAGGAGGACAGCTGGACATTTCACATGATGGCAAAGTTCCCCCAGAGCAGGCACCCTCAGAGAACCACTTTGGAAGTTATCTGACCTTTCTGACTTGCCCTCAGAAATCAGGAAGCATTATTCCTGCCTCAGCCCATATTCAACAGGAAGGGAATCATACTGTGATATAGCACCATCACAGTGCACGATCATAATGCATGATCATAATGTGCAATATCAACTAGATGGAAATATTTGCAGGTATCTTTAAAAATCTACCACAACTGGTATGTAGACTATTAAAAAGTATATTAAAAGTACAAGAATATCCCATATTCATAGGTGGGAAAACTGGACATTATAAATACGTCAATTTTCTCTAAATACATGGATAAATCCAACGCAATTCCCAAATTCCAAACAAGATTGTATATGGACTTTGACAAGCAGATCCAAATTTCATATGGAAGACTAAAGGGCCACGAACAGCCAAAACACTTCCAAAAAGGGAAAAATGGAAGCACTATCCTACCAGATATCAAGCCATATCATAAGGCTGTCTTAATTAAGATAGTGTGGAACTTGATGGAGAAACAGACAAACTGACCAGTGGGATAGAAAGACCAGCAACAGACACATACATATATGGAATTGTGATATGTAACAGAATTGTAGAAATCAGTTAATAGTGTGAGACAACTGGTTTTCCAAATAGAATAAGGGAAATTTTATTTGTATCTACTTCGTATCACCAATTTCAGATGGATTAAAGACTTAAATGTTAAAAGCAAAATATTTAAAACATTTTTTTTAAATGTTTTAGGGGCACCTGGGTGGCTCAGTCAGTTAAGTGGCTGCCTTCAGCTTAGGTCATGATCCTAGCGTCCTGGGATCAAGTCCTGCGTTGGGCTCCCTGCTCAGCGGAGAGCCTGCTTCTCCCTCTCCCCTCTGCCTGCCGCTCTGCCTACTTGTGCTCTCTCTCTGTCAAAATAAATGAATAAAATCTTTTAAAACTAACTAAATAAATAAATGTTTTATAAAATATAGGAAAATATCTTCTTGATCTTAAAATAGAAAGTATTCCTTGAATAAGACACCTTAAGCATGACCATAAAACAAAAGACTGAAAAATTAGAGTATGTTTAAATTAAGAATTCCTTTTCAACAAAGATGCTATAATGAAAGTAAAAAGATAGTTCTTTTCATATATATCTAATAATGAGAAATCTAGAAAAGCCATTGTAACTGTTCAGGAAACTGTCCAAAAAATAAGTTTTACACAAACTAGCAAAGAACTAGCCTATCCAGAAAATTCAGAGCATATATGAATAAAACTAAACAAATACTTACATCTAAAAACAGTTTCAATCTCACTCTTTTAATGGCACACATAAAGCTTTGCCAGATGGAGATCAATAATGTAAATATACATATATTCTTTAATCAGTAAACACTTTGATTATAGCCATTGTCTCAAGAAAATAAGTGATTTTTACTGACCTACTGAACAGGGAAGATGGTAAGAAATCCTAGTCATAATAATCTCATTGACATTTACATGCTTAATACCATTCAATAAACACTGAATCTTGCTGAACACCAGGTACTGCGGGACACGCAAATAGCAGAGACACAATCCCTGATCTTTAGGTCCATAATCTAGTTAGCAAGCAGTAAAATACATATATAAAGAGGTAAGTCAAATTTCTATGAGACCTCAAGTCAATCTGTTTTTTTCCATCTCCACTATCTCTGTAATCTCTCCTAAAGGCTCTCTTGCATTCATTTCACTCTATCCCGATCTATTCACTACACTGCAGCTACAGAAACCTTTTTGAAATGCAAGAAGCCCAGAGATGCACTCTTTGGAGAAAAAAACCACTGTGGAGATTCAGAAACACCAAGCACAAGGCTAAAAGAGATGTATGTGAAACCTTGCACTAAACAAGGACACCCTAGCAACCTTCACTTAGTCTGTTTCTATAACTGAAAAGTTAAGTGTCTACTTGCCCCAGGAGAAAGAGGATTCTTCTTTAGAAAACTGAACCAGAACAAGCCTCCAGCTACTGATATTTGGAGGTTCCTCCAAGGAAAATGCCATATTTTGCTGACTCTTGCAATTAAAGATTAAAAAAAAAAAAAAAGCAAAGAGCAGAGGAATTAATTATCAAATAATTTAAATTTCCCACCAGGTGGCTCAGTTGGTTAAACATCTGACTCTTGATTTCGGCTAGGTCATGATCCAGGTCTTGGGGGTCCATACAGGGCTCTGTACTCAATGGGGGTTTGCATTCTCTCTTTACTCTGCCCCTCCCCACTGCTAGTGCATGCTCTCTAAAATAAATAAATAAGTCTTTAAAAATGATTAAACAAATAAATTTCCCAGAACTAATAAAGAACATAAGTTTTTAGATTCAAAGAGTCCAACACTAAGCACACCATGATCAAATTTGAGAACACCAGGGATTAAACGGATTACAAAAGCTCCCAAAGAGAAAAATAAAAATTGGGAAATCAGATCAGCTTTAGCAAGAGCTACACTAAAAAACCTTTATATCTAAAAGAATTCCAACTAGAATTCTATACCTACTGAAATTAGTAATCACATGGGAGGAGAAAAAAGGTATTTTTCAGACTCATAATAACATAAAAATTTACCTCCAAGGTACCCTTATTTAGAGACCTACTAAAAGATGTACTCCAACAAAACAAAAGTAAACCAAAAGTGAGTAAGACTTGATATCCCAGAAAACATGGACCCACACAGAAGAGCAGTGAAGGAAATCCCAGAACAGCAGCCATGCAACAAGCTTAGAAAGTAAATTCAGATCGGGACTGGGAATAGGACTATAGGAAGGAGTCTTCAGTATAAAGAATGGAACATAGTAAATCCGAGCATATGAAAATTATTACTGATAGCATGTAGCAGAGATGTGGAACATTTAAAAAAAATTAACTACAAATACACAGAAAGCCAGTAAAGAAAAAAAAGAGAGAAAAAGAGAAACAACTATTAACTTCATAAAAAGCAAAGACTATACTATTTTACCATTTGGCTTGGAAGGAAACAATATCTTCATAAACAAAATAATGAAATACTGATTTATAATTTAACCAAAAATTACACTATATGTAATTGTATAAGGGGAAAGGAAGTACAAAAGCAGAGTAAAAAGCTAGAGCTCCAAGAAGAGATAATACCGCAAGAAGAGATAATACCTCAACCTGATTGAGAAATACCAGTCTACAAATGATATTAAGGAATAAAGAGATAAATACCAGGGAAAATGGTCAAAATGATTAAAAGTGGTTTCTTGCAATTAGGACTTGGAGATGGAAAAGGGTAAGGTAAAGCCTTTTAACTTTATTTGGCTTTTCACCATGTAAATACATGATTTTCTAAAATTAATTTAAAATAATTAACATTTATTATTAAAAAGCAAGTAGCTGCAAAAAAAATTTGCAACACTATGTTACTGTAACTGTATTATAGATAGAAGAACAATACCTTAAAATGACTAAAAACTCTTGCAAAAGACAACAACATAATACATGCAGGAGACAGGAACAGGAAATTTACAAAAGAAATACTACTATCCAAGGCACATATGAAAAAAAAAATTTCACCATTCAAAGCAATTAAAGAAAAACTCTAGATAAAAACAATAGAGCAACATTATTTGAACTACTAATCAGCAAAATTTTAAGAAATGGGTAATACTTATGGTTGTAAGGTTTTTGGAAAATGTGTTGATTTTGAGTGTAAGTTGATTCATTGTTTCTGGAGGAAATTTTAGTAATATGAATCAAAATCTTAAAAATATGTATGACATTTGATTCAGTAAATCCTGCTAAAAATGTACCCTTAAGAAATAGTTACAAATATGCATAAAAGGATCCAACCACAGGGTATTTATTTTAGCAAAATTTTCTTAAGATTGTCTTTTCCATACTGATTAACTAGAAACAATTAATAGCCTTACCTGAACTGTACGTCCCGCATTGATATGCTCTTCATGCAACTTATCCCAGATTCTGCACCTTTGATACTATACAAAAGAGAAGAAAGGTACAGGTTTTTTTAATTACTAAACTTATTACTTCTAGTTACCACAAAAATCCCCACTCACCTAACCAAACTTAAAGATACTAGCTCAAAGTTATTGACTTAATAGTGTCAGTTAATGGTCCAATGACAATATGAGTAGAAATTTTTGAAAACATCACCTACAAAATTCTGGCAAATGGTAAAACAAATAAAAATCACTAGATACAATTTACTTTACTGAAAAAAGGCAGTGTGCTCAGTCTTGTAAGTTCTTTGGAGATGAAAAAAATAATGAGAATGTAAAAGAATAAAAAATAAAGATTAAGAGTATTCATGAGATATTGTTACTATTTACCAAGAATTTTAAGTTTATCAATGATAGTGTCAAGGATTAAAAACTAAAATCTGACTTTGAGAAAAAGTAACATTGATACTGCAGACTAGAAAGTACACAAAAATGAGAATGAACACTGAATACACATTCTTTAGTTTTTACCAAAGCAATGTTTAGCCTTCAGGGTTTCAACCAAGAAACTTGATGAGCAGGATAACAGAAAATTCTTCATTTGACAGGAACCATAGCAAAATGTGGTAACATTATAGCACAATATTTATGTAGAATACAAACATCAACACCAGACATCACATACTATTTTTGGTTTAAATAAAAAATCCAAACAATCAATATGTCAGTAGGTGTTCAGTGTATCACTGGTATACTACATGTCAAAAGAAGAAAAAAATCAACCTAGAAATACTGTGAAAGGACAGAAACATGAAAATGTCCCATACAGGGGTGCCTGGGTAGTTCAGTCAGGTCAGCATCCAACTCTTATTTCAGCTCAGATCATGATCTCAGGTCATGACATCGAACCCCCCCACCCCCATGGGCTCTGTGTGGAGTCCATTTGAGAATCTCTCTCTCTCTCTTGCTTGTGCTTTCTCTCAATCTCTCTCTTTCTCAAAATAAATAAACAAATCTTAAAAAAAAAAAAAAAAAAAAAAAAGGAAGCCCTTCAGGCTGATGTAAAAATGGAAGAGAAACCTGGTCCTACACAAAGGAATGAAGAGCACTGAAAATGGTAAATATAAAACATTTGGCCGGGGTGGGGGGAGGGGGTGCCTGAGTGGTGCAGTTGGTCAAGCGTGGGGACTGTTGATTTTCAGGTCATGATCTCAGGGTCGTGAGATCAAGCCCCACATCAGGCTCTGCACTGAATGCAGAGTCTGCTTAAGACTCTCTCCCTCTCTCTCTGCCCCTGCCCCCACTCTCTCTCTGAAAGAAGTAAAATCTTTAAAAAGAATTTTTTTCCTTATTTTTAAAACCTTTTTGAAAGAAAACTCTGTTTAAAACAAAAATAACAACAATGTGTTATTGGATACAGAAGCAAATTATATGACATTAACACTATAATAAGACCCTTAGAGAGGAATTGAAAGTATATTATTATAAGGCTCTTATACATGAAGTGATACATAACAAATCAATGAGGCTGATTAGGTTTGATTTTGTACCATATAGCTTGTGCTTCACACCTAACCTGAACAGTCCATGCCACTCACTTTCACACTTAATTATATGTCACTACTATTCTCTGAATTATTTCTTAATTTATTTCCTTAACTGGACTGTATACTTCCTAAGGATTAGAAACCTAATTTAAATTAAAAAAAAAAACAACTATTTTTTATGAACTTTTCAGTGCTAACAATAAAAGACAGCAAACACCCAAACTTATTTATTTCTTATAATTAATGACTTCCCTTCTCATTAAGCCTGGAAGACTGAACACAAGCATTTATCTCTGCTCTTTTCTAAAACCCAACAAAAATGGCAATGAAGAACTTTAAAAGGTATACATTCACAGGAGTCATGAAAATACAACAGAAGATATCAGTTGACAAGAAATTCTAACAAAATTTTAGAAGCTGGAAAGAGTACAGACATGTTGCAACTGACTTAGAAGATCTGAGAAAGCCTGCACCATGAGGCTGCAGAAGGGGTGAGTGGTGTGTGAGAGGCAGTGAGTGACAAGCCAACAGCCACACGACTACTCCCTAAAGACTCAGTAACCAGAGGTACCAGCTACCAGGGAGTCAGGAGGATGTGTATGGGGCAGAAGACTTGGTTGAAAGTTTATGTAAGGAAGAGGTAGTCTACCAAGTGCTCCCTCTACAGGCCCAAGCAACTACACTGTCCCTATCTTCACAGAACACATTCCAGAAGAATATCTGGTGGTTCCCCATTAAAACAGAGCTTTCACCTGCTCACCCCTCCAGATATAAAACCCCACCTACTTCCTGCTACGCACACAAATACCTTCCAATTAGCACTCTTAAACATCAACAGCTCACCAAGGAATGCCCATAATACTGCACGCTGACACAAAGAAGAAAGGAGGAAAGGAGGTGGGGGAAGAGAGAGCAAGAATAAAAAAAAACTCAGGGAAGACAGACAAAGAAGCAGATAAAAACTTTAAAATAAAATCACCAGAGAGATGCCATGATATTACATCCATGAAACAAGAACAGGAGGATTCCCTTTAAAAGAAAAAAAGAGAACTGACAGAAAAAAGAACATAGCAAAAATACAACTTTCGTTATTTCATCTTAGCTGGAATGTGGATGTAATAGCTGAGGTTGGAGCTGCTATTTTACATGCAAGAGAGAAACAAGTTGAGGGTCAGAGAACAGGATAAAAAGAGCCTGGGTCTTTAATGACTGCTGAGCTGCCACTGCAGCCCCAGAGTGCCTCTGTAACTATGAGCGGTTAAAAATAAAAGCAAAAACAAAAAAGGTCTATCTGATTTAATACACTATTTTGGGGTTTTCTGCCACTTGTATTTTAACTATATACTAACACAGTACATGCTACACAGTAAGTTTTCTCCTAACCCTACAATATGAAACAAAGAAAATTATGTTCCAAACATGATCTTGTTTCTATTAACTATGCTTAAGCCTATCTTATCTTAGCCGAGAAAGCTGAATGCTAACACTTCAAATTTCAGCGCTGCGTTCTAATCAAGACTATCATGTGTAATAAAATGTAATGCTGAAGGACCTATGGAATACAGTCCCAGGTGTGCGCAGCACACTACTCTCATTGTTTTCGGATGTTGCAGAATCACTCCACCAAGGCTTACCTTCAATTTCTCTTCAGTGTGACTTTCTTCTTTTAAATTCATATTGGATGACTGACAGCTAACATAATAAATATTTTATCTTTCTACACCCTTCGCCCAGGAAGAATATGCCTTTTTTAAAGTGAGGCATTGTCAAACACCTGGAGTCCAAACCTAGTTCATAGCTCTTTTGTCCACAGTGAACATAGCAGCTTTTAAATGTTTTCGCATTGCCATAAACTATTAAAATATGTTATCCAAGCTTATATACATAAAAAGTCACTTCCATAATAAAACTAGAAATCCTAGAGATAGTATAATGACCAAGAGTACTGAATAAAACACAGATTAGCATGAGTTTGCCTAGCTTCAGACATCACCTATATTGTAAATTATAATTATTCTGACATTATCTAAAAATTCCACATTAAGTAAGAATTTCACAAAATGCTAAAGGAAAAATGTTATGGCAGAGAAAGATCAATATAACTCTGGAATAATATTCTTATGAAGTTTGGCACCACTAATCGAATCAATAACATATCCTTTCCTGTCCCCACCTTCCTTGTTTCCAGGATTCTGGCTTTTCCATAGATGACTGACTGGGTGGTATGTGTGGCTAGGATCTGAGGGTATGACTGCAGGCACTTTATACAGAATAAGTATAAGAAAAGGGAAATTTAAGACGTGCCAAACCTCAAAGGTAATATAGGGCAAAGAAACAATCTTAACAGAGCATAGTCCACCTATGTCTAGGTTTCAGAATCAATTCATCTGCCAAGTTCTAGTCATCTCTGTAACTGAGTGCTTTGATATGAGCTCAGGACTTTAAAATACACCTTATCAACCTGCCACCCAGATATGATCAACCAGAGTAAACAACTCGATTTCTATATTGTTACAGTGCTAAAAGAATAAGTCCTCCTCATTAATCAAAGCATGGAGCCCTGTAATTTGTTTCTGCTTATGACAAGACTAACCAGTTTACCAGAAAACTCCTCCACCCTAGAAAGTCACAGAACTTATTGCTTACGAATAAAGAAAAACTTGAGATGACAAAACAGCAATCTTGAATTCTAGATAGCTTCATATTTGCTTTAAAATTTTCATCTTAATATTCCTGGTGCTTATTTTCTATACTTTTTGAAAAGATTTAAATACTAGGAAGACAAATGGTATCTATGGGGGAAATAAAAGCTGACACTTCTTAGTTATATAAGGTACTCAGGTGAGGGTGATAAATATTGTTTATACTGAAAGGCTTAATGACCACTTCCACCCCACCCCCACCACAAAAAATTAATGGAGGGCCACGTGGCTTAAAATTTATTTGGGGGAGGTCTTTTTGAAGGAGCAAATCCCACTGACTATCCTACAGCAAATAAAACAATATAATCTGCCAAGTCACTGCTCAGTAGTAAACCCTATGTTCCCATGAATGCCACAACTATTCCACCAGATGCTGGCCAGTCCAGATTCTGTGCCACCTTCACCATGATCCAGGAGACTAGTTCTTTCTCACCTATTTCCTAAACTAACCTCCAGGTGGTATTCCTCAATTTGGGGCTTTCCTCAAAGGGAAGAAGTCAATTTGGGCAATTCCCTCTTTCACACAATGATTTACCTCTTTATTCTATGTGCACCTGAAGAGGATAGGAGTTATTGATAGACACCAAAGTTCAAAAAACTAGCCACAGGGTGAAGGAAATTAAGGCAGGCCCATTAGCCAAAGTTCACTGCCTTCACATTATGGTGCACTATCAGACAATTTGTATTTTAATTAACTGCCCAGTATGTCAATATGTACAACTTAAAAGGTATAGTTTCTATTCCTAAATCCCTCCCTAAAAAAGGAATAATACCAGATGTAGTTGTAAAACAAAAACCCAGATGAAAAGAATGAATGTTACTAAATCAATAGGAGATGGATGTTTTACCAAAGCCTCCTATCTAATATTCTAAATTTGGCTGAAATGCACAAGTATAAATCAGAATTTGCAACTGTTTCTTGTGGTAGAAAATGAAAAGCAGCCCACCTTCTCAATATTTATCTGGTGCTTTCTTAGCCTCTCCAGGTCTGTTGGGATTACTATCTTAATGAATTTCTGTATAGCTGGTTCAAGACGGCGTAATTTCACTTTTTCTTCATCTTCAGACATCCTAAAAAAAAATGCTGTGTCACTTCTACTTGCAGCGACTGTCTTCTCCACTCACATAGAAAACCTAAAAGGGAAGTATTTAAGAATGTTTTTAATCAGTTTCTGTTATTTTTAAAAACCAACAATTAGTTAATTTTATAATTTATTCTAAATATATATTCAACTTAATTCTGAACTCGAATGAGTTTTTTTTAATAAATCTTTTATTTTGAAACTTTTTTCTTTCTACAGATGAATATGAACTTTAAAATGTTTAGAAAATATGAAGAAGAGGATAAAATAAAATCAATCATCTCCTCACCCACAGTTAACTACTCTTTCCATTTTGATGTAGGTCTTTCCAGGCTCTTTTCCAAATAAGAATGTATACATTTAAATATTTTTTTTTATTTTTAAACTATGAGTCTACTGTCCAAGTTTTCATTTCCCAATGTATCTTGGACAATGACTAAACTTTTTTTAAAAAGATGTCAGATGGCAAAACCAGAAGAAAAAATTTCATAACATTTCTGCTTGTATCAAACTCCATTTCTAACCTCTGAATGTAACTATATAATTATATTCTTCAAATATATTATAACATCATATGCAATTCTTCTCACTGATGTCCTTTAAACTGCCTCCTCCCTTTCTTACAAAGTGATTAGTGTTGTCCAAAACCAATACAAATAAACAGTTAACAACAGAGCTGGAATAAGAACCCAGGATTCCTGAGAGTACAATCAAATGTTCTTTCTAATTAACCAACAGTTTCCTATCACTGTTCCAGAATGTCCAAGAGTATGCCTTTGGGGTCAGAGTAGGTGAGGGTAGAGGATAGCAAATGAGCAGGCTCCAGGACCCCATCCCTGCTTCAACTGGAGAAAATTTACTTATATCGATTTCATAAATTTGAGCATATTAGATTTTACATCAGTAAAGGGCTCCACTGCTTAACTAAGCTTAAAAACCACTGTTGTACAACCTTGCTTTCATGCCATCTCATTAGCCCACAACCTCTCCTGTATTGAAAAAAAAAGAAAAAAAAATGACTATATTAATCCCAGTGGGTTATGGGGTCTTAAACCAGGGTCCACACAGACAGAGGTTCACAAATATACTTTATGGAGTCCCTGAATCTTTATGAATAATTGTGAATGTATTTTTGAGTTACGTCAGAGAATAGAGTCCAATGCTTTTATGATATTAAAAAATTGCTTTTATGATATCACTGCAGAAGCATTAAGAACTATAAATCTAAATAATGTTGAAACTTTCTTTCACAGTTGAAAATCTCGAAGTGTTGGTTATACAGAGTATCTCATCAACTTAGTAAGTTCATTTTTTAATGTTTAAGTTTTTTTATGTTAAGTTCGTTTATGTTTAAGCTTGAAAGCAAAAAAGGGAAATCTCCACACACCAAAGATAAAGAGAGTTCAACAGCTACAGTAGTGAGTGGGAATTGGAGATACATACAGAAGTTCATTGCCGACAGTCCACAGACCCAACAAAACAAGAAAATTCATAGCTAAGGGACTACAGATAGTAATCTAAAAAAAAAAAAAAAAATTAAAATATGTACAGTTGGAAGGAATAGAATCCTTTTAAATATTAGATAATACTACAAAATAGTAGCAGGCTAATCTGAGAAACCAAGTACAAATTGAGAAATAGGGGCGCCTGGGTGGCTCAGTGGGTTGAGGCCTCTGCCTTTGGCTTGGATCGTGGTCCCGGGGTCCTGGGATCGGGCCCCGCATCGCATCGGGCTCTCCGCTCGGCGGGGAGCCTGCTTCCTCCTCTCTCTCTGCCTGCCTCTCTGCCTACGTGTGATCTCTGTCAAATAAATAAATAAATCTTTAAAAAAAAATTGAGAAATAAAAACCTCAAAAATGTGTTAAACAATAAACTATGTGGCTGAATGGAGAATTATTGATTGGAAGATATCAGTCAGAACACAGAGGAATAAACAGATGAAAAACATAGAAGATAAAATGAGTAGCTCAATAACAAATAGGAGTCCCGTAAGAGAAGAATAAGGAAAGTGGTGAAAAAGCATTATTCAAGAGAACATGCTGAGAATTAAGATGCAAGACCTCAAATCGAAAATGTACATAAGCCCCAAGTGGCATAAATTAAAAAAAAAAAAATTACCAACACATGGAAGGGAAATTACAGAACGTAAAGGGCAAACAAACAAAAATCTTAAAAAAGGCAAACCAGAGATAAAGATAAAATAAAGCAACAAAAGCAGCAAACTTTTCATCAAAGCGAGGTTATCAAAAGATAGGAATATCCTCAAAATGCTGAGAGAGTTGGTATATGGCCAGGTAAATTATTCAGAAACGAAGGCAAAATAATCATTTTCAGACACAACAGTTTATAAGCAAGTTTTCTCTTTAAAAGAACTACTAAAAGGCACACTTTAACGATAAAATAAACCCAAAGGAAATGAAAGCCCAGGAGGTATGAGTATCATAAATTATACTATTACCAGGTGCATATATGAATGAATGAAAGGATTTATTTTGAATACTCTGATTAAATATAATACCAATCTTTCCATGTAAATGACTGTTTTTCTATAATACATCTTTTATAGAAGCATAGTGTTACATTACATAGATGCTCCATAATCATCTATTGTTGGCTATTTAGGTTGTTCCCAATTTTCCACTATTATATACTGTACTACAATGTAATTACCCTTACACATAAATCCATACTACCATCTATGTTTCTTCAAAATAAATAATTAGAAATCAAACAGGTACACACACTTTTTTAAGGCTTTTGATACCAAATGTCCCAAATGGTTGTGCCTGTTTACATGCCCACTAGCAGCATATCAAAATATCCAAGTACCCATATTCTCACCAATACAAGAATACAAGCATTCTTCTTAGACATTCAAAAATTGTGTCCCATTATTGTTTTATTTTGCATTCCTTAAATTACTGGAAGCACTGATTTATTAGCCATTTGCATTTCTTATGAATTACTTGCTAGTGCTATGTATCTATTTTACTATAGGGGATATCTTTTTCTTATTATACTTAACATATAATAGACTCATAAATTATCAATTATTTGTCTCACAATGTTCCCAGTTTATCACATTGCTTGCATTTTTTTCTACCATGCAGGTTATATCCTACAGGAAGGTATCTTTTTATCTACCACTGTTCCTTTTTTTTTCTTTTTAACTATACATGGTTTTCAATCGATGCTGATGGAACTAAAATATTTCTTCACAGATCCTTTCTTCATCATTTCTAATCCCATCATCCAAATAATGCAATATGCACAGCACCTTACAAGTGTCTTAATTAGGCTGCTTTTAAAAACTCTTTCCCCTTTCCAATTTTTCCTCACACATTACCACCAATATACCAAAATCACGATTTGCAATATGCTACTCCTCTGAACAAAAACTCCCTAGAGTTCCCTATTATTTGAACAAGAAAATACAATGTTCACAGATTCACACAATCTAAGTATTATCACCCAATCTCTACTTTTGGCTTTGCAGTGATGCTCCCTCTGTCCAGGAATCATTTCACAGGCATCATTTATGTATCATTTGATATACAACTCTAATGATTTTTTCTTCTCCTCCACTAACCAGTTTATAGTATACATAACAAATCCCAATTATTAGATATTTGACTTGTTTGCACTATGCCCCTACACTATGACGATAGATTTTTTTCAGTTCCAAAAGTGATGTTTCCAGGTCAGAGTTATGCATGATTCTACCCCTCAGCTTTCCGTGTCCAGGGAAAACCTACTGACTCCTAAGGACCATCTATAAGGGAAGACATTCTGCCCCAAGAACCTCCCAAGAGACTTTTCCAACTCTTGGTCTCCTTCTGGCCAGTATTTTTTTCTTCTCTCCACAATTTCCATTTCTATAAAATTATAATAAAATGCCTATATACACTAAAATAAGAAAATAACATTCAAATAATTGCATAAATCGTGATGTTACAGAAACAGAAAGTTGGACAGCAGTAGTTTGTAAGTTGTTAAAGGAAGGTATGTAATCCAACATACAATATGTGTTGTTAAAATTAACTGAAAAACAAGTATTTCAGCATTTCTTGATTTTTCAGTCAAAAAACTGGAACATTTTTCTGATAGAAATGACAAAAATGAAAAATACATTTACATTAACATCACAACTGTGTAAAATATGCCTATGAAAAAGACAAGACAAAACATACAAAAATGCCTAATTTCCCAAACTTCTGTAGAGTCGATTTCCTTCTAACTTTTTTTTTTAAGTGTAATGGAATATCTGAGGTGATAGAATTGTTCTGTGTCATGACAGTCTGGGTGGTAGATACACAATTATATGCATTTGCCAAAACTCACAGAACTGTGTATTACAAAGAATGAATTTTTGAAAACTAAAAAACAAAAACAAAACGTAGAGAAACATAAAATGGAACACAAACTAATAAAAACAAAACCATATTACCAATGAATAGTATAACCACACTGAAAGTAGGGGAAGAAAATAATCTAGGTAACTCTGGAAAACACTATTTTAACTGGATACCATTAAGCTAAAGACAAAAAGAACTACACACAACTGTATTCTAATTAGCAAATTTGTTTTTTAGCATAAGGGTTAGAAATCCTGAAAATCCTTTATGTGAGAATTGAGCAAATAAAATATTCTGTAGAACATGAAAGCCAGCTTTCTGTCAAAAGAAGAAGTAACAAATAAGGGGCATGACTAGGATGAACCCTGTGGTGTTCATTTACAAATGGAACTTTCAGAATGAACTTTTATTTTTAAAAATATATATACACAGATATATGAATACATATATACAGATAAATACAAAAACAAATCTTTGTGTATGCATGGGTATATGTGTGTGTGTATGTGTATATCCACGGAATATGTGGATACACATGTACAAAGCTAAGAAATACATATATATTTATAAATATAATGAATATAAATAAGTAAATATTTAGTCTTTTATAATTACATAAATAATAAATATGTAACATGATCTATAAAGGACAAATATTTATAAAAATAAATAATACATATATTTATACTTATATATATTCATGTCTTCTGCCAGGAAC